GGACACTCTTGTAGGACACTCTTGTGGGACACTCTTGTGGGACACTCACACTCTTGTGGGACACTCTCGTAGGACACTCTTGTGGGACACTCTTGTAGGACACTCTTGTGGGACACTCTTGTGGGACACTCTTGTAGGAAACTCTTGTGAGATACTCTTGTAGGACACTCTTAGAGGACACTCTTGTGGTACACTCTTGTGGGACGCTGTTGCGGGACACTCTTGTGGGACACTCTTGTGGGACACTCTTGTAGGACACGTGGGACACTCTTGTAGGACACTCTTGTGGGACACTCTTGTGGGGCACTCTTGTAGGAAACTCTTGTGGGACACTCTTGTAGGACACTCTTGTGGGACACTCTTCGAGGACACCCTTGTGGGACACTCTTGTAGGGCACTCTTGCGGGACACTCTTGTGGGACACTCTTGTGGGACACTCTTGCAGGAAACTCTTGTGGGACACTCTTGTAGGACACTCTCTTGTGGGACACTCTTATAGGACACTCTTGTGGAACACTCTTAAGGGACACTCTTGTGGGACACTCTTGTCGAGCACTCATACGGACACTCTTGTGGGACACTCTATCTGGGACAGTCTTGTAGGACACTCTTGTGGGTCACTCTTGTAGGAAGCTCTTGCGGGGCACTCTTTTGGGACACTCTTGATACCACAAATCATCCCGCTCACCAGCGACACGCCGCGTTTACGCCAGCCTGTTTCGCGCTCCCCAGTGGCACGGAGCGCCAGGCAAACACACTTCCGACCCAGGCCGTGCAAATCCCAATGGCACTGCGACATCACGAACGTCGCGTCGCCACAGTGACGCGCCGCGTTTACGCCAGCCTGTTTCGCGCTCCACTGTGGCACGGCGCCACGCAAACGCACTTTCCACCATGGCTGCGCAAATCCCAATGGCACTGCGACATCACGAACGTCGCGACGCCACATGGTCTGCCCAGACACTAGAAGCAAACATGTCACACGATACCACAAATCATCCCGCTCACCAGCGACGCGCCGCGTTTACGCCAGCCTGTTTCGCGCTCCCCAGTGGCACGGCGCCACGCAAACGCACTCTCCACCAAGGCCGCGCAAATCCCAATGGCACTGCAACACACGATACCACATATCACCCCGCTCACCAGTGACACGCCGCGTTTACGCCAGCTGTTTCGCGCTCCACAGTGGCACGGCGCCACGCAAACGCACTTTCCACCAAGGCTGCGCAAATCCCAATGGCACTGCGACATCACGAACGTCGCGTCGCCGCGCGGTCTGCCCACACACTAGAAGCAGTCACGCGAGCGTTTCGTACGAGACTTCCTCCAAAAGTCATGCTTCGAGGCTGCAAGACGGCGTTTCGTACGAGACTTCCTCCAAAAGTCAAGCGGAAACACCCATCGGGGCACAGCCCTGCCAAGCAGTTTCGCGATTCCAGCCCCTCCAAACGACCCCCGCTCACACGCCAATCCCAATGTGACAGCGACATTCACCTCTATACCACAACTCACAACCTCACGACTCCCTGCGCCTGCCACGAATCTTTCCGCGTCCACACGTCTAACGCGCACGAAGTACTGCGCCTGCCACGAAATGTCACCTCCGTCATACCTCGCAACCTCACGATTCCCTGCGCCTGCCACGAAAATCGCACTTCCATACCTCAAAACCCGCACAAAGTACTGTGCCTGCCACGAAAAGTGACAATATCATCTCATGTGAGCTTCAACAAAATTTGCACCACACCACACGCTTGGAATGATTCACCAAAATCGCCATTTCAGCTGAGACTTGTCACGAAAACAGAGCTTCAGTGCAACACCCTGAAACGCAAATCCAAATGGCACGACCACATCCAACACCCCAAAAACACGACTATCCAAACGCTAATCACAATGGAACTGCGTAGTGAACTGCGGATCTCACAAAACGCTGCGCCTGCGCAGCGAAATCATCCTCCACACTTCAACCTCTTGCATATCCACACGATTCCTCGCTATTTCACACGAATCTGACACGTCACGTTTCCATCCGAAACCAGCTTCCCCCAATGGCAGCGCTCTACTGCGAACGGTTGCGAACGGTTGCGGACGGTTGCGGACGTAGAAACAACGGGTCGCAAACAAGGCTCTACCCCCAGACCCCCAGAGTTAAACGAGAACCCTTCGCTACGCATTCGGGAAAACTCCTAGCCAAGTGCGTTGAAAGAGGCTTAATGTTTATACATGTTCACCTCCATAAGCACTTGCCAGACAAAGAGAAAAAAATGAACATATGTCCCAAAAGCTTTTATTAGTGTCAGCGGGTCGACTTCCATTCCTATATACTCTCAGAAAATCAACAGGCACTGCCAATCGCTGAGCCTAATCTCTGTAGAGAGAGCATTGGATCATTTGATACCGCAAACACCTGCGATCTGTTTCAATCGGGTTGCCGGCTGCACGAACCAGGTGTTTCGACATTGCAGAGAGCTGCTCAACATGCTGACTTTCTGTGCTAGCAGTCAGCGGGCTGGGAAAATAGTGGAAAATTTAGGCTTTCGAGTGCAAGTAAAACTTGTTGTTGTTTTCGATGTTGGTCCTCTAAAATCCAAAACTGATATATATACTTGTTGGGAAAACTTGGGAAGTGCTGAACAGTCGATGCTCGACACTTGTAGCACTGTATCACTGCATCTTTCGTGGTTCCTCCCGCGCGGGTATTGGACCTATCTCATAGGAGGCCACGTTCCATAGATATGTCCATGCGTTGGCTGGAATTCCCTAGCCCTTCTCAGTCTCTGAGTAAAGCACCAAGTTTCCTGGGTTTACATCCTATGATTCGTGTCCCGCCCACACCCCTAGAGAACTCAATTTTGTTGGCAGAGACTGACTTCAGCCTTGCCTATCAGCTGGCTTGCGTAATTTAGCTTCAAGTATATGTTTTGGGCATTCAATTGACTTTGAGTTAATTACAGACTTCCACTTTGATGTGGACCAAGGGCGAAGATCAAAGGTTGCGCTGGAGCTGGAACTGGCTCATACTGTATGTGCAAGACTAAGTGGCGAAGTGGCAAACAGAGATTTTTGGCGAAAGGGTCTTGGCTCTGTGTTTGATTGCTTGAAATTTGGCAACCGGTAAGCTGTAAGCCGCCAAGTTGGATGAAGGGCATGTTTCGAGTATTTGACCTCAAAGACGAACTCTGTCGCATTTGCTCTCTAGGACAGAGTGCCTTAGCAACATATAAGGAATCAATCAGCATCGGCGACTTGCTCTTTTGTTGTGTTTTGTTTGCTTCCGATTGTTTTAAGACAGTGTGGCGAACACCACCACCACCACCACCACCACCAACAACAACAACAAGGGCAATAAACTAGACCGCACCTATACTGCTGATGTTGTTCATTCTGTCATGGACCCTGGATTCAGATCTGAGAGATTGGAAGCTTTAGCAAACTGGATCACTCGCTTTCAATCTCTCACTTGACTTTAGCCTTTCTAGGCCGTTGCTGCTGTGTACTGGGCGGTACTGGGGTTGTGGTGGTATTGATTTGTCGCAGTTAAGGTGATAGATGATAGATGGATGAATGTTTCTGGGCCCACCTACAGTATATATATATATAGATTATAAATGGCAATTGCATTTTAGAAATAACTTCTGCCACTTAGTTATTGGTTTCTGAAATTTACTAAATAGTGTCTGGCCTCCACAAATGAAGAGGGTAAGCAGGTTCCAAGCTACATATGTTACATATGTGTTCCTCGAGTTTGTGATAGAAAGCCAGTGCTCTGATGAGAAACGAATAAGCAAAATGTCCAGTACGAATGAAATCATGAATCTCCAGGATGTCGTTCTCTTTCAAAGTTGAAGAGTCCCACTTTTCCCGAAAAGTTCAAAAACATAAACTGTTTGACTTGTTCTAAAAAGTGTTCTCGAAAAGTCGATAGGACAGTGAAAATTGTAAAAAGTCGAACTGTGAAACTTTCTCGAAAAATCAAAAACAAAAGCTTGTTAGTTTGCGTCAAGTCTACTTGTTTTTGCGCTAATTGTTGCCTTGCGGATTGCTGGGTTAGGAAGCTTGTGGGGCCACAGCGTTTGGCAGGCACTTGGCATGGGACAAGCACAGTGCAAGCACGCTAAGTCTGATGCGGACCGAAGTGTCGCAAGACTGCAAGTCGTTACAGCCGACGAACCGTGATGAACCTGTGTACCGAGACCGGCTATTGCTGGAGAATGGTGCTGATCAAACAGCCTCAAGGCAACAGCCATGTCAACCCATGCCAGATTGGTGCTTTCGGTGTGGGGCTCTAATTTCCATGGCAAAGTTAGAGTTGAAGCTGTGTCCGGTCCCTGGGCGATCGGGAAGTTGTGAACAGCCGCTTGCAATAATTGCACGATATGTCCGTTCCTCATGGCCGTACTCAGCAAACATGGCATAAGGAAGTGGAAAGACTTGGTTCTTCATAGAGGCAGCCGATGCAGAGAGCTTCAGGCCAACGTTCCATTAAATTCACTGACGACATCTTACACTGCCAAATGTGCGGATGACTGACTGTCAATTGTGGTGCAAGCAAGCTGCCCATTGCCCTGGATCTCCACCTTCCAGCCTTGGATAGACTCCGCAAACCCAATGGCAAGGATAGTATAGCCGCCATTGTCTGCACAGTTCACACAGTGCCTGGACAGCTCACCTCTGTCGTCTGGGAGTTGTTAAAGAATGTGAAAGGGATAAACTGCAAACCTCAAGTCAAGCTACGGAGATGGATTGATGCCCATTGGCACCTGCATCAACAACTGGGTAGCTGAACAGCTGCAAAACATGCCAAAAAATCACACAAAAAAAATCGCTTGGCCAACCCACCAAGATGCACAAGATGCGCCTCGCTCCGGCTACAAGAGCTGGTGCTGGCAGCACTTGTGGCGGCGGCAGCATAGCCGCCTACACAAAGCATGTGTGACAAATGAAGGAAGGGGGTGGACGCTACTAGGGGCTCCTGACATCGCTACTAGGAACAAGAAGCTACTAGGGGCTCCTGGCCTTACTACTAGGAACAAGAAGCCATTAGAAACAAGAACAAAAGCATGGGTGGACCACCTCTTCATCACTTCGTCCAAAACTTCCAAGCCCTGGATACCCCTTCCCAACCTCGTCGAAGCTCCCCACCAAAACCCCCTCCCAGAATAGGGAGGTCGCAGCTGCCTAAGCGTTGTGGCATGCTGGCAAGCAAATGAGGCTGCGCTCGTGCCAAATATCGAGCCTGCCGAAAGCGACCGCAATTCATGCTTGCAAAAAAGAGCAATTCATTCGTACAGGAAGCTACTAGTACCAAAGGGCATCGCTACTAGGAGCAAGGACGCTACTAGGGGCTCCTGGCCATACTACTAGTAACAAGAAGCTACTAGTAGCAAAGGGCATCGCATGGTCACACCCATATCGTCACATGTTGAGCCCTCAAAGCCGTGTTGCAGTTTCTTTTCGCAAGAGCTAGTGACTAGTGGATTCCTGCTACAATCATATCACCAGGAACAGCTGCGTATCCAAAACTGTCAAATCAATGAATGCATGTGTCTTCACAGAAAACATCAGAGCCTGAAACTCACTGAATTGCTTTCGCAACATCTTCTCAGCCTTGCAGACTCAGAATTGACGCGTTCAAGGACCCTGATGTGTTTCTGTGGTTCTCAAAAAAGAAAAGATCCGGCCTCGCCCTCTTTGAAGCCCTTCGTATCGCCATTCTCCTGCAAGAGTTGGGAAGTGAATTTAGAGCACGAACAAGAAAGGCAAGTTGCGGAAAGACTGCATGCTGCAGGAACAAAGAACACCGAAAAATAAATGAAAGAAGGAAAACCGGACAAGGCAGGATTGAGACTATGAGACAAAAAAATTGATCAGAAAGCCTACAGTATGTACCCAAAAGTACTTGTCAATAACTAGGAAAGGTTCAAAAAGAAATACAGTAAATGGCTTCGGCTAGGCAAACCAATCTGCAACGCTCTTCACCTTCGTCGTTCTCAGGCTTCTCTCCTTGATGTGAAAGAGATCTGACTGGCGTTCAAGAAAGGTCATGAGAGTGTGCAGCAGATCCTGGAATGGGTTGCTCCAAAGTCTTCAATTGTACAACTGGCTCATGCAAAAAGAAACACATCCCCCTTGCTCTGGCTGGTGTGCTCCGAAAACCTCTGAAACAGTCTGAAACAGTATGATATGATGATTGCTGTCTTTGCCTCAATTCCCTTGTGCTTCTGTGCCAGGCCAAGGAGAAGGTCATCCTGATGGACGAGGTCGATCAAGATCTGGGGGGTGGTTTTCAGGGTCCAGGAGGTGAAGGATGAAAGAGGATTCGGCATGACCGCAAACAAACATTATATCATCGTTACTTGAGAGGAGGGAGACACGAAAGGTAGGACAGCGGGAAGAGAAGAGAACGCGAGAGGCAGGAACAAAAATGCAATGTTCGACATGGTGATTTATCCCCTCGGAGGCGACCTTTCGTAAATATATATATTCATATGCACTCTAAATGTTCAAACATATGCTCTCGAAATGTTCAAAAAGATTCTTAGGAAAACAAACTTGCCCCATGGCTCAGATCATCGGTGAGCATTGAATCGGAGCATCATAGGATTTGAACTATCCTGAAATCATGAGAGGCTCACGAACACGTTCTCCAGGAGAGAATTGAATTTAGAGGGGGGGGGTCTGTATTGAAAAATCAATTCGAGGGGGGGGGTGTTGAATTGAATGATTAATTATTAGACCCGGACGCGCCAACACTTGCTTCGCAAGACAAACTCAAGGTATCCCCTAAAGGGCTACCTTTCGTGACTTGTAACAAGTGCATTGCTACTAGTAACAAGCAGCTACTAGTAACTGGAAACAAGAAGTCACCTCCGAGGAATGCACAAAAACCACACCACTGAGTGCCAAACAAAGCGACCATCCATGGCTGCAAAGTCTCAGCACCAGCTGTCCACAAGTTGTTGTTTGTTTGCGCTGGGGTTGCAAGTCGGGGTGTGGCAGGACTCGGCAATGTATGTAGAGCACATGATGCATTGCACGCGTCACGTGTGGGCACTGCAGATGGTGCCCTGCAAGGATTTCCCATTCATTTTTTGTCATCGGTTGTCTGTTTTTCTAAAGCTGTTGTCTATGAAACAACAACTGGTACAGCATGGTCAGTCCGTCAGAGCACACATAGCAGGATTTCAACTCCAGTGTCTTCTAGGTACGAGTGTCATGTCCATTTGAATGTGCTGCTTTATCCAGAGATTGAGTTGCAAAACGCCAAAGGTCATAATCGAATCACAATCTTTGGTAGTATGCCTCAAGCTATGGTGCAAGGCTGCTTCTCCACCATTCACCAGGTTGTTTCATATTGCTTCATATCCTTTTAAAATGTCACGCTTGTGGGCTCCTGGCCTTTAAAACCTCGCTCAAAAGCTCCTGGGAGACCATTCACTCATTGACCACGCACAGTACATTCAAAGTAACTTACAGTAGCCACTTCACGTTAGACAGCTGCATCACTTCAAAGCCTCATATCTGAAATCGCAGTCTCAATCTCTGAGATTCCCACCCTGCTCACATCCTCCACAACCGGTCGATGCAGAAATGAAACAGTGCACATCTTTTGGCCCAGGTTGCCACTTTCACCTAAAGCCTTGAAGCAGCCTGGTCGTGTTTGTCTCAAAACTTGAGCCCCACTGGAGCACTCACTCTTTGGCCAGAAAAGCTGTGCAATGCTCAAACAGCTAAATCAAGAGCGGATGGAAGATGAAAGGGGTCAGCTCCACAACTCCTTATGTGCTCTATGTCCTGTAGTATCTACAATGTCTCTACGGACAACCTTCATTGGCCAACAAGTTTGGAGGCTCTTGGGTCACCCCTCTGATCAGTGCTCCTGCATCCGCAAGGTCTGTGACCATGACAAGACCACGTGAAGGAAAAGCCTCAGAATGAGAAGCATAATTTGCACCTCCAGAAATCAATTCTGATGCGAAGCGGACGTGATCCTGCAACGCAGGACCGGCACCCTGGGACAAACAAGTTCAGTGAAACAACCATGTAGTCTTGTCTCTGCAATGTCACTGGCTAAAGGTCGATGCAAAACTCATCAAAACGGTTGAATTCAGAACAAATATGTCAGAGATTCCTCTGCTGGCTAAATCACAACTCTCTGAACCAGAAAAACAAAATGCCAAACGTAAAGCAAACAAAGGCTGCTTCTATCCTTGCCACCACTGAGCGTGGAAAGCTTCGAAAGACAAGGCACGAAATGCTCAGAGAGCCATAAGGGCATCGATCAAGATCCTGCATGCGAAGCGAAAAGCTCTTCAGTGCCCAGCAAAAGCATAGGCTGCGATGTTATATACCTTTCTGAAACATCTCAAAGTAAAGATGTCTCACTCCTCTGTTCCAACACCTTCAGCCACGCTTGCTGCCCGAGCAATATCGAGCCTGCAGTTGCTTGCACATCAAGCTACTCGAGGTTATATTTAAAAAAGAACCTAGTGTCTGGTTGGTATTTTCCTCACATGAAATTGTAAGCATACCATGCTGAAAGTTAGGGACGGTCTTGCACATCACCGTGGTATAAGCGCCTTTGTTGTCTGGCGACGCGGAGGAACACATAGAGTTTCTTCTTGACCTCGTGTATGTTGCGGAACACACAACTTTGCGAAACACTCAATCTCGCCTGAACTTTTTTTGGAACCTGGGGCCCTAGGGTCCCGTAGCCCTGAGTCATGACCAACCATTGGGCGACATTCTTTCAGCGATTGATTCAGGTTGTTGCTAGATACAAACGAGGATACTGTAAGACAGTTCATACCATACATTCATTCCAAATGTGTATATATATATATATGTTGTTATCATCAAACAGTGGTCGAAAACATTTAAAAAAAAAAAAAAAAAACATATTTGTTACACTGAGGCAGTGAATTTGGACTTTCATTCAATAGCAAAGAAATGGTCCAAAGGCAGGCCTGAAACCAAAGGGGGTCACTTTCGCAAGTTGCATCACCTGATTCCAGGGGGAATTGGCAAACGATCACTTTTACTTACCAAATGATGGTTGAGTGTAAAGTATACATCAGGAAATTAAATGAAATTAAACTAAACAATCAAACGCTCTGATATGATCTGCCTTTCAGTCTAAAAATGGATTGGCAACATCGAGAAAAACAATTCCCTTGCAGTGATGTGTTGTTGCGGTGAGGACAATGCCCACCTCAATGCTGTGCCCTTTGATACTCAAGCAGCAAGGAAAGGCATGTTGTCTGCTCGTGCCTGTCATGCCATCTCAACCTCAGACTGAGACTTCAGGGATTGAACTACTACTTTAGTCAAAACCGTTTCAAAACAACCTCAAACACTTGAACGTCGGTAATGGTTGGCTCATGCAGAAATTCAAATGATACGTTTCCGGTCTGCCCCCTTTCTTTAGAAAGAATGCTTGCGACACTGTCAGAGCAACAATATAATATAAGAATCAATGAATCCAACTTCCACAAGCCACTCAACTAACACGAGCCGAGTCCAGGCGCTGCATCGGCGCTGCATATTTTTTGGCTGGATTCGGGAGTGTCAGCAATCTTGTCTGCCAACAAGCTGGTGCACCCATTGGCATCAAACTTAAATCACGCTGGCAAAGACCCCAAATAGGTACCCTGGTATCGGAACCAGCCCTCTTGAATTGCGGTCCGACTTGCGCCACAAAATGCGATTAGAAGAGCAATGAAGCACCACAAGAGTGATGGGGCTGAGAAAACGCTGTCTTTGAGTAGTCCACAGAGAGTACTGTATGAGTCCATAGATTGGTCTGGGGTCTCCGTCGAACAATGCAAACCGCCCAACGCAACAAAGTGAAAGCGTGCCTGGCATAATGATCCTGGCCGCCCAAATGCGCAAGCAAAGCATTCTGATCGCGATCAATTTTTCAGTTATTTTGCTCAAGCCAGCAGCCGCAAGGGCCAAGTTGCCGGCACCGGCACATCCGAATCATTGGGATGCTCAAGAGGAAGTTCATAGAACCAACTGCAACATTGTAGCTCAACAAGCCTTCTCTCTGTGCCTTTTCATCCAATCCAAAGCAAGCAGCAACCTTCACGGCAGAAAAACAGCCAAGAACAGACAATATAATAAGCGCGTGGGATGCCGAGTAAAAATATTTACTCCAAATTGTCCGTTTGTGACAAAGAACACCCATTGAGTATCTCAGGGGTGGCACTTGCGTCAACATCGTCCACATCTGTGGAAGTGCACAGCATTGAGAGCACCGTCCACAACATTTTACAGTGCCGCTGAGCTCGCTGAGTTCGCTGAGCTCGCTCTCGCTGGGGCTTTGTGCGCTTCCCGATGCAGTGGGGCTTTCTGTGCCTATGTCTGCAGCATACCTCATTGAAATGAATCTCTTTTCTCTTTTCTCTATTGAATTTCTCTTGCATTACTTAGGGTAACTCGATCAAGTTCATTTATGCCAGCATCGCTGCACCCAATTAATGTAGCCTTCTCCAAACTGCAAACTCTGAATTGCAGACTATAATACTATATGTTGGCTCCTTTATAGTCAATACATGACTGAACGCTCTTCCAAAATGTTAATGCCTTGGATGTCAAATATAAAAAGGCCAGGCCCAAAATGTTGCAAGTTGCAAGGAAATGCCGAGCCATCACACACATACAGAAAAGGGCCATCCATCGTGTGGCTAGGCCTGACTGAAATCCGGATGTGCTTCCGGAAGTCCAACTGCACCTCTTTTGACTCTATAGCCGACAGCAGCACCTGGGATTCAACCGCATCATCCGTTGCAGTGCCTGCCAATCCAGCTCTCAAGCTCCTCCTTCACCACAGTCTCACAAGTACAGCACTGGTCAAACAGAGACTTTCTCTTCTCCATAACAGCGTGGCAAATCCATCCATTTTCCTTGGGCCCCTGTACCTTTTTCAGCTGACTGGTAATTTTGATCATTGCGGGTGAGCCATGACTGGAGGTACCACCTGCAACAAACCGAGCACAGCGGCAACTCATGTTTTCCACCATGTCTGCTTTACCCAGACCCTTAGAAAACGCAGAACTGCCATGATGCAAGAACAACTAAACTCACAAATCAGAAGTCAAGCGCAGCGTATGTGACTAAGAGAAGAATGCAGCTGGCAACACAAAAAAAAGAAAACATGAACCCGCGCAAAACCGCTCTACTGCCACAAAAAGCTCCCAACTGAACGTGTTCAAATAGACTTATATAGATATGTAATCCTAGAGATCTGAGAAGAGTGTGGTGAAGAAGCAATGATATCTCCGTCAACGTTAACCAAGAGATGTCCAGAAGAAGCATCGGAGCAGTGTTGTTGCAGAAGGGTTGAGACTGTCAGCCTGAACTCCAGCTAGAGCGGGTGCTGCGGCACCAGCTCCAACTTGAAAAGCCGCCCAGTCGTGCACCAAGCCACTCAGTCCTGCTGAAGTGCACAGGCAAGTACAGTGCATTGCCAACATTGCAAAGCCTCGGCCCTCCAAACTTTAAAAAAAAAACATTGCCTCCAGTCAGACATCTCAGAGGAGAATAAACATGACAAACCAACGAAGGCACAATCAATCTCAATCATCCCTCCAAGATCATCTCTATAGCTTCCTCACAAGTAGCTGCTATCAGAATCGGTAGCCATAGACAAAAATGATATCTCCCAGAACCCTCTTAGCGACTGCAATCTTATTTGTCAGCCTTGGCCCAGGTCATACTTCTCGATGATGCAAAAGTGTCGGTAGATGTGGATGCCGCGGATAGCTGCAACTGAGTCCTGGGGGGAGGTGCACCAGTGTCGTTTCTGCCAGCATTATACATACATACATACATACATACATACATACACACAAACATACACACATACATACATACATACATACATACATACATACATACACACATACATACATACTTACTTACATACATACATACATACACACACATACATAGATACATAGATACATACATACATACATGCATGCATACATACATGCATACACGGCTCAAGCCACGAGTGGTCCAAGCCGGTCCCATACAAAACCGGATACAGGCAAAAAGCCATAGACTTCCGGGACACCGTGCACAGCACTGGACTCCTTTGCCCGTGATCACACGTGAACACCATCCTAGCTCCTGCAGAGTTCTTCGGTGTCTGGCAGTGCTCGCCCTGGATTTTCACCACAAGATCCTGCTGAACGAGCGCTACCTTCACCAACCTCTTTCAGGACAAGGCCTACTACCGCTTTGCCCGTGATCCCTTTGAGATAAAGAACCTTCCAGGCCAGAACGTGAAGGGCAACGGCAACCTTGCACCATGGCTCCTATGACCACCTGGTGTAGAAGCTACACTGTCTGCGCCCACAAGCAGCGCCGCAACTGGATTTGGGATGACAGGGAAGGTCCGGGCACACGCTGCAGGAAACTCGGAACATGGTGGCAGCAAGGGACCTCCCCTACAGGAAAAGGAAAAGGCCAAGGCCATGGCAATGGAAGCAAGATGTACCTCAATGCAGCCTGGCCCAAGAAGAACGTGAATGAAGACCTCATGGACCACCCACCAGTTTTGAACAAGTTCAAGCCCTTAAAGAAGAACAAGACACAGCAGTCAGCCGCGGAACTCCTGGCAACCACCTGGGAGGTGATACCAAGTGACATCCAAGGCAAACTTCAAGCGCTTGGAGGGACCACCTCAACCAGAAGAACCAGGCCTAGCAGAAGTTTTGCAAACACACCTCAATGCTTTACCACAAGCAGTCCAGGATGTGGTCAACAAACTCAACCAGCCAATCCCGGATACAGAAAAAGCGCTGGCCCAGAAGCTCAAGACACAAGTTACGGAGCTCAAGACCATCTCCATGAAGAAGGCACAGCTACAAACAAAGCTGGGCCAGATCAAGAGCCAATACGCCTCCATGTTGCAGGACATGCAAGAGCACCAAACCAGGCTCAACGAAGGGCAAAAGAAGCTCAAGACTTTGTCTGAGCAGTACATGCAAGCAGTCAACAAGACACCTATGCCAGCTGAACTGGGACCTCAAGAGGACCAAGAACTGCCCATCCCAATGGCGGTGGAAACCTTTGTTACAAGCCTAGGCATTGACCTCACTGACGAGCAGCGCAGCCAGCTGACCACTGCACCACTGCCGCCGGGAGGGCAGTTTGGGTAACAACACCCAGTCACTCCAAGGGTTTCAGGGGATCCACGCGCCGGTACCCCTTGACGAGTTCGATCAGGCACCACCAACCAATTCGGTTTGCCGCGCTGCCTCAAGATCAGCACAGGCGGGGGAGCAGCAAATGACACACTGTGCAATGGGAAAGACACAGAAGGATTTGCGGAACCTTTTAAAGCACCAGCTACTTTTGGGGACACCTCACACAGGAGTGCAGGGGCATGGATACCTCTTGAACCACAAGAACAAAAAAGCCAAAAGCACCCCTACCAGGGACACAGCTGCTGGACAGCGCTGGAGCCACTTGCGCCTCAACCACACAATGGGTGGGCCTATACGCTAGATGCCACGCCCTCCTCCTACGATGAAAGGAGTCAGATGTGGGTCTTCGGCCTTTGTGTGCACACTATGTCCTTGGGTCAGCTCAAAAGACTCGAAGCCATAACAGGGGTGGCAACTGGAGTGCAAACCAAGGCACGCGCTTTGATAGCAGGAATAGTGGCGTTGGCTAAACACACCACTCGGGCCAAGGTCATAGTGCAACTGGCCACAGTCTGGGACGCATGGCACCAACCCAGAAGCAGAGCACCTTTCCAAGACCTTTTGGAGGACGTCACCACCCAGGACTTCGACAGAGCCACGGTCCTTTACATAAGCAGAAACGCCAGAACTCCTGACGCACCGGGCAATGAGCCTCAACTTCGGCGGAGACAGCGTGACTCAGCCTTGACCGCTTGGGAGAGGGCCAAAACTTTGCACGACCAGAAGCAGGCGGATTGGCAAGACACCTTGGATGATGATCACAAGTTGATCTACCAGCATGCAGTGCAACGGCTTGCAAAAATCTATGATGACCCTATGCACTACATCCACCAAAAAGCACCGAGGCACCAGGGCAGGCAAACCAAACAGCACAAGAGAGATCTTGTGAAGCAACGCAATAAAGCCTGGAGCGCCAACCATCACAGGTGGGAGCCTCACAGAAGCGGATACCAATGCACGGCATGTGGTACCAGAATGCACCAAGGCTTGACAACAAGCATCCTGGAAACCAGGCTTCACGAAGACTGCCCACAAGTCCTCATTGAAGACATCCGCAATACGCCACCAAGCCAGGCTGCCCTTGCCCAAGAAATCCACCCGAGGTCATCAAAGACCTGTTACAACAGCAGAAGGAGCAACAACCAGCACCTGAAGAGCACAGCTTCACAGAGACGACCGGCTACCTCAAGCGCGCTAAATGTGGAATCAACATCCACAAACGTGTCAATGAAGCAGCCTTCCAACAATTCATCACAAGCCAATGTGTGGATCAGGCCTTCACTCAAGCACATGACGGCCATCACACCCACAACCTTTGGCAAAAAGGAGATCGAGTCCGATGCACCCAGTGTGGGATGCAATGGCATCTTGATGGGCAAAAATGCATCATCACCACACAGGCTTTCACCAAGCCTTGCAAAGGAGCAGGCCTCAAAGGCTCCCCACCTCTTAGCGAGTTCTTCAAGAAGAAGGGTGAAGCTGCTAGTTCCTCTGCAGAAGAGCGTAAGCCTTCCCTGCAGGCAACCGAGCATGTGCAGCCAGCTTCCGCCAGGCCAACACCACGCAGGCTGCACTTTACTACGGAACTTGATGAACGAGATGAGGTGAGCTCCAACTCGAAAGATGAAGAGGAAGACGGTCAAATGACAGTCGACTACTTCTGAAGTCTTCAACGAACTCCACGAGAGCACTTTGAGGACAAGAAGCCCTACTGAGACACCGGCCACCCTGAGGCAACAGACCTAGAGACAAGGCCACACGAGCCATCGCAAAACTTCAACTCTAGAATACATGCATGCATACATACATACATACATACATTACATAAAATTACATTACATTAATACATCAATACATTATAAAATACATACATACATACATACACAGACATACAAACATTGCATACATACAAACAAACATGCATACATACATACATGTAACTCATATAGCAAGCTCTGTCCTGAAGTCTGCTGTCGGCAGTCAAACCTGTCGTGGATGCATGCATCACTGGATGTCAATGTGAAGAACCCGCCGTCCCTACATATCTCATTCCCACCTGTCTGCATTTCATCCATTAGCCCTTTGAGTCTCTCCACCCATAGTGTATGACCTTTGAAGAAGAGCGCATCCTGGAAGGTTGCGCAAAAGAAGCAACCATCTT